GCAACCTCCGCCTCCTGGATTCAAGCGATTCCCCTGCCTCAGCCTCAAGAGTAGCTGGGATTACAGGTGCCCACCACCATGCCCAGCTAATTTTTGTATTTTAGTAGAGACGGGGTTTTACTATGTAGGTCAAGCTGGTCTCAAACTCCCGACCTCAAATGATCCGCCTCGGCCTCCCAAAGTGCTGGGATTACAGGCCTGAGCCACCGACCCCGGCTTTTTTTCTTCGTATTTTTGTTTTGTTTTGTTTTGTTTTTAAGACAATGCAAAGCTGGGCATGGTAGTGTGCACCTATAGTCCCAACTACTCGGGAGGCTGAGGCTAGAGGATTACTTGAGCACAGGAGTTTAAGGCCAGCCTGGGCAACAGTGAGACCCTGTCTCTAAAATAAACCAAAAAACACCCCCAAAAAATGACAATGCAGATGTGGAAGAAAAAAATATTATCGATTAAAAATCTAGTCATAGAAGTTAGCAACTTGGGGCCGGGCACGATGACTCACGCCTATAATCCCAGCACTTTGGGAGGCCAAGGCGGGCAGATCATTTGAGGTCAGGAGTTTGAGACCAGCCTGGCCAACATGGTGAAACCTGGTCTCTGCTAAAACTACAAAAAAATTCGCTAGGCCTAGTGGCACACACCTGTAATCCCAGCTACTCAGGAAGCTGGAGCAGGGGATTTGCTTGAACCTGGGAGATGGAGCTCACAGTGAGTCAAAATGGCACCATGGTACTCTTGCCTGAGCGACACAGCGAAACACTGTCTCAAAAGAACAACTTGTTTGGAGGGTGTTAAAATACAAGTGAGACATAGCTGAAGAGAATTAGTGCACTAGAAGAGAGCTGTCTGAGGCAGTTACCCAGGACATAGCACAGCTAATGAGACGTATATATATTTACAGTCGACCCTCCATATCCATGGGTTCTGCAGCCATGGATTCAACCAACAATGGATTGAAAATATTGGAAAAACAATTGTGTCTGTGCCGGACATGTACAGGTTTTCTTTTTTCTTGTCATTATTCCTTAAATAATACAGTATAATGACTGTGTAGCATCTACATCGTACTAGGTAATCTGCAGATGATTTAAAGATGATGTGCATAGGATATAAGCAAATACTGCGCCATTTTATATAAAAGACCTGAGCATCCTCAGATTTTGGTATCTGAGGGGAATCCTGGAAGCAATCCCTTGAGGATATGGAGGGATGACTCTGTGCACTCTGTGTGTGTGTGTGTGTGTGTGTGTGTGTGTGTGTGTGTGGGGTTGACACGAGACAGTAAGAGGGCTCAACATGCCA